GAACCCTAAGTGACTCGTCTCCCCACTACCCCTCTGCAAGGTATGTCCAGTTGTCTAGAGATGGGCATTGGGTCTCCATCACACGCCACCCTCATTGACGAGGATATGATTCCCCCTCCCCACAGTCACTTCATTCTTAAGCTATATTTAATCCATAGATTAATTGTTGGAGATTGACATCTTAATTATGTAATACCTTAACATGAGTTTGAGGACCCTGGTGGGGTAGTAGTTACACACTGGGCTGTGATCTGAAAAATCTTCTGTTCAAAATCACCACGTGCTACACAGGAGAAAGACAAGCTTTCTGCTCTGTAAACAGTTACAGCCTCTGAAACTCACCGGGGCAGTTCTACCATAGCCTATCCATCGCTATGAGTTGTTATCGACTCTATGGCAGGGAGATGTTTTTTGGTTTAACATGAGTTTATCTTCTCAATACTTTCATTGTTTTGAATAGAGTCTTGATTTTTTTGTGTCCAATTATCTTTTATATTTCTTTTCTGAGATTCTCATGTGACAATACAAATACAATGGAATCAATAAAAATATCATTTCTTCAACATTTAGCATGACAGTTTTTGCTTCTGCTTTGAGGATTTTTGTTTTCTTCCTGGTCAATTGTAATCTTCCTGAAGACCTGTAATCATACTGAAGACTGTACTCTTGGCCATCAGTTAAGTCCTCTTTACATTAGGCAAGTCAGGCTCTGTCATCTGGGGGCCACAGGTTTTTAGAGTCTCTAATCCTGAAGCTGAAATTGTTTCACTAATCCAGCTTCTATTTTTCAGAAAAATTTTTCATCACAAAATTGAGTAGAAGTATACTCCAATTATGCCACAATACTTTTCCAAATTTGGATCCCACTCGTTTTTATTGTGGATCCAATTAAAATAAAATTCTTAACAATTTCAATCTTTTCTCCATTTAGCATGAAGTTGTTTTCTAATCCAATGGTGGGATTTTTGTTTTCTTTAAATTGAGGTGTAAGGCATACTGAAGGCTGTAGTGTTTGATCTTCACCAACAAATGTTTTGAGTGTTATTTGCATATCACAGGTTATCGATGTGCCTTCTTCCAATTCTGATGCTGCATTCTTCTTATATAATCCAGCTTTGGAATTATTTGCTTAGTTTAGAGATTGAAAACATATGGGAACAGGATACAACCCTGGGGCCCTCCTTTATTGATTTTATACTGTTACATGTCCACCTGTTCTGTTTGAATGATGGTCTCTTAGTTTATTAATTGATTCCATATGAGCCTTTAAGTGATCTGGAATTTCCAATTTTTTACAATGTCATAAAAAATTTGTTATCATTAGTACAGTCAATGCCTGTGCATAATCAACAATATGAATTATTTCTCCTCTAAGAAATACAGAAAATACCTTTGAGGTATTGCTAAATATCTTCTTTTAATCAATATCCATCTAACATAAGTTACGTGTGCCCTGTTTCTGACTT